GGGTGGGAGCTGCGGACGAGTCATGCCTTTAGGGAGTGCAGTGCAGTAGCTGATTAGTTAGCCAAATGGAGCTTCCTTCGATCCAATGAAATACAGATGTTATGGGAACCACCTGATGGGGTCCGATGTTGTTTAGATAGAGATGTTTTGGGTTGCACTAAACCCAGAAGCCTTTTACGTTAGTTTTATTTTGGGCTGTTAGCCCCCTCTTGTATAAAAAAAAAGCATTATTTTTTCATTGAAAGTTTTTCCGCCTTACCAAGGCTCCAATCCAGACTAACTTGATTATTATCTGCTCTAGCCCTAAACCCGCCCCCCGAAGGGGAGGGAACTAGGATATCAATTCTTTTTCTTTATTTATGTTTGATATGCTTTGATCCTTTATAATGTGTAACTACTTTTGAAATCAAATCTTTTAAGGCCACAATTTCAAGGGGTAAAAAGATATTTAAGTTTTATTTTATCTATATTTTATATGTGCATATAAAATTGAAAATACTAACTTAATTATAATTCAATAGTTTGGTTATAGTTGGATTAATAATATAAATAAAATCATTCTTCTTGTAATTATGAAGAGAAATTATTCTTTGACCCTAATTAGAAATACAATTCTTATTTTACCAAAAAAGAAAAAGAAAAATACAATTCTTAATTTTATTATTATGTATGTTGGGAAATAGGTCCACCCTTGGTGGATTGGACTAAGCCCATTTACATTGGGGCACTTGTGCGAATAACAGAACTATTGGGTCACAGAGTGTGATTCTTGCGTTTTGTTCAAATTGACAATTTTGGAGAGAACAGTCATGCAGCTTCAGTTTATTTTGACTGGAGTTCCTAATTTTGGGAGAACGTGAAAAATAGCCAGATAACCGCTTCCCTTTCCTTTACTCTTCTCTGGTACATTTGCTGTGTAACTCATCTGTCTCAGTTCAATCAATAACTGGACTGTCGCGTGGCTACCTGCAAGAACACGAGTCTTCTCCAGGTATGCCCGAAAACCATCACTATAAGTATCAGTCAAGCACTCGTTTAAGCTTGAAAACTGAAGTCAACATGATGTTAAGTTCTCACTTGACGTATTTAATCAGGTTAAAATTTTTCATTTCACAATCATCATTTTATGTTATTTACAACATTAAAAAAATTATTTTTTGTAATATATTTTTAATTTATTTATGATTATAAAGTGTTTGTGGTCCTTGACGGGGACTTGTAATCTTGAATTAGTGGAGATGAGCATCATAAAAGAAGTGTACAGAATCTAAGTATAAACCTGTGGTTATTCGTACGTATGATCATGAACATACCTATATACATGGATACGTTCCAACCACATTTGAAATATTTGATGATGACTGTAAGCTTTTACGAATTAATTTCATGAAAGATTTGATCATAATGACTTATTATTTTCATTTTATATTTTTTTACATATTTAAAGTATTATATTATATTTTAGGATTAAGATGTAAATATATTTATGAATTATTTTGCTATAAGCATGTAACACCATAAATTTTTTTAATTGTAAAAGTACACATAACGGTGCAAAAATCCCTCGGCTATTAAATCATGTAACATTTATTGTTTAGCAAACATATGTGTCAAGAAAGTGATGCAAAAATACACATAACGTTTTTAAAAATGGTGCAAAAATATTATGGTCATTAAAAACTTCATATGTATTTTTGCCGACAACAATAGTGGTTGGTGCGCAAGTATAGAAGCCTAATTTAAATCATCAGAAATTTAATTACTATTTATTAATTAGGATTTGACTTTGAATTTGAATTTGGTTAGGTTTCAATTTTATCAACATGATATACTACCTCTAGTACTAAACATAAGATTTAATTTGTAGTACAAATCACGTTATAAAATAGATCTTATATTTTGTATAAAAAGGTAATATATTTTTTATTCGCAAGGCTCAGACTCAAAATTATTCTCTATTTTAATATATGGAATATATTATCAATAGTTTTAAACTAACGTGTAGTTTGCTGGCAAAAAAAAAAAACGTGTAGTTTAACTATACGACAAAATTATTGTTACTTATTAGACAAGTGTATATCTCCATTAAATAATCCCATGCATGTACGGACGAAGTGGTAGGTATAGTAATCTTACATTAAAGAATAATATATTCCGCAAATGATGTACGTTTTATTTTATAAGTAAGATTATCACCTGTATTACAGCAAAGATTTCCATTAAATTAATTAATGTAAGCAAAACAGGTGGACTTATTTAAGAGGTTGAATTAAAGGGCACAGATCAATGTACCTGTCAACACAAACAGGCAGGTATATTTTATACATACTCTCTCTCTCTCACAAACACACAGAGGCAAATATACATATACTCCTCTGATCCTATTTATAAAGTAGAGAGAGAAAATAGTTTTTGGTCCCATTAATAGAACACTGAGAGAAACTTTTTTGTATTAATATGTAATTTTACCCTTCATTTATTATTGTGGTAATTTTGTTTACATGAGATATAACGTATATTATGCAGGATAAAGTTCGAAAGTTGTTGAATTTTAAATGAATGTCAATAGAGTTTAGGTTTTTTTTTGTCCGTATAAAACATGTTAAAAGTTATTTATAAATAGGATCAGAAGAGTGTATATATGTACATATATGTGTGTGTATATATGTGGAGGAATTCAATAAATGTAGGGTACGTGTATTATATGGAATAACGATGTCTTGAAAAGAGGGCAACAATAATAATATGCTACAACGGCTTTGCTGGTTCATTGGGGCATCCATATATGCTTCGTTATTTAATGTGGTCTCATCAAATATTAGAACGTGTCAGATATATGATCATCGCTTTCAATCAATTAGGGTGAGATCATGCATACATATGATTAACGTTTTAATATTATATATCATTAACGATGGATATTTGAAAGTTTCTTTTAAGATCAATATTGTCATGGGAGTGTTAAAAAAGAGCAGATTCATCCTAGCCATTACAAGGCTAACATTGATAGTTAAAAAATTAATGTTAACCGTTAAACATTTTTAACAACCAGGAGTAATATTATTGCTTCTTCTTTTTTTTTTAACACTTTCAGGGTAATATTAACCTTAAAAAAGAAAATCTTCGAGATATCCGCACTCCTATGTGAAGACTTGATAGGCAAAATCATATTGAATCATAATCCATATGGAAAATAAGTCCGTTATTCATTATTTATATTTAAAATCCATATAATATACAACCAGGATCGAGAACTTCAAGCAAATAATATTGTTAATATGAAGGTGGTTGTTATTTTCATGGCCTGAGCTTGGATTTTCACTCCCTCTAGTTGCTGATACAAGGGCTTTACCCATCTGAAGTTTCTCCTAAACGATTCTGCACAGAAATCCGAAAAAGTGAGGAAGTCAAATCGCTATGAAATATTACCCCGATCCTTAATATAAGACCTCACTTGATTTTTATTTTAGTCTTAAATATAAGACTCCAATCCATTTTGTCTCTTATATTTAAACATTTTTTCCAAGCTAATCCTTCTAACAATAGTAATTCTAACTAATACACTTGATTAGTAAGGATATTTTAGGAAAGACAATACATATTTATCACAAATAACTAACTTAACTTATTCCCTTAGTCTCTTCAAATTAGTCAACTAGCTCTTATAATTAGGACCGGAGCTAGTAGTAAATAGAGAGAATTATAATGAGAAAATAATTATTAAACTGTTCTAATAAAAACCTAAACAGCCTGTAATAACAAGTTTCATAATAGCAAATAACAACTTCTGGGACTTGTTTTTTTTTATCTCATTGTAATTCTCCCTAATAAATACTCAAGGTCCTTCTTAGACTGATATGTCTATGCCAATTTAGAACCAATATAACGAAAAGAAATTAATTATTAAAAAAAAGAGAGGGGAAGAGGTGGAGATGAGATGAGAGAAGCATACGAATCACAGTCAAGTTCAGGCTGAATAGTGAAGCCCAAAGAGACGCCACAGAAGTGAATATGGGACTGTTTGAAGCTATGAGGCCCATTACGCATCTGCATGCGCTTTGCCTCTCATAGCTCGAAGAATTGGCTATGAAGCTCAACCCCGACATTGCCTCACAGCACGGCGACCATGGCGTCGGCTCCACCCACCTGCCGGCGCATGTCGAGAAAGCCTCCGCCACGTCCAAGCATTTGAACTCCATGGCGGAGGCCATCCATACGAATGGGGCCCACCATGCAAGTAGTATTAGTGATGCCCCTCTTATCCTTGCCATCTCAAATTCTTCTGCACTCTCATGCTACGTACCCCGTTGGTATAAATATGAGCACTTTTGAAATTATTCAGCTGGTGAAGCATATGGTTGGGTTGGTTGGGAATGTGGAGATTGTGAAGCTTTGCATGAAATTTGGATGAAGTTTAGCATGTAGGGCAAGTTTCGTTGTGAATAATCTCACTCACTTTGATTATTATATTTACATTTAAATGATTAATTAAGTTTTTTATGAGTGACATATAATTATGACGTCAAAGGTAAGTTTCGATGTAAATTTGATCACATTGAGACGGTTTCAATTCAATTCAATTCAATTACCCGTTCATGCAAAATAGAAATTAAAAGTAATTATAGCGGTTTGGAAAAAATTAAGACTTCTAACGATGAAAATGTATTTTGTTCAATCTCTTACTACCTCATTTATAAACGATAAATAAGATCTTATAATCAGAATTGAAAATAATATTGTTTTAAGTTGTATATTTGTCTGTTGTCTTTATTTTGTTTTTATAATACAATATTTGATACCCAATTTTATTTTGTCCAATTCAGGCATTGTTTTTATTTTATTTCAGTTTAATAGTTTGGGAGGAAAAAACACTGACTAGTTTTTATTAGAACACAATAAAATTTAAAAAATAAAAAATATATATAAGATGACTAAAAGAATTGAAAAATTAATCAAATTAAAACCAATAAAAGTCAAGGAACATCCACAAAAAATTGAGATGATAAAAAAATGTTGAAGAACAATTATACATTTCTTAGAAAAATTATATAATTTGGTGAGCACCCAGTGGAGACAAACAAGCGAACATCAGAGACAGAAATAAGGCAGAGAGGATTCCATGTACAAATAAATTTATATATTGAAAACCTAAAGATAAATCCAGAAAGACAGACAAACAAATAATTGATAATAAAGAAACGAAGATCAAACCAACCCGCTTTTCTAAAAGCTACAACTTTACATAGAGGCAAAAGGAAGAATCCCTCATGAACAACACTACAAGAAAGCCTTCTCTTTAATTTGTCTAACTAACATCACATTTCCATTTAGAAGTTGGAACACAGCTCAAGTAACGACACCAATGGCAGTGATCATACCCATTCTCCTTCCTGTATAGCATCACCAATGCAATAACGAATCTGCCATTATATGAAAAAACATGTCAACTCAGTACTTCTTCACAACAATAATCATAGACATTAACGTTGTTTGCTGTAATATGACTTGGATCAAGACCAAGCACCCACTTAAGAGGTTATTTTGTGTTTCAGGTGATAGTGATGTTTGTTATGAGGGTTTTGATTAAGGCAAGGAACTTACCCAGCAATAAGCAGAAAAAGAGAGATAATCCAAAGAACATATTGGTAAGCCTTGTATTTTGACTTGATTCTGACATTGGAGGGAAGATTCCGCTGCTCTAACCACCCGAATTGTGGACGTGCCAGCAAGATAAAACCAAGGAGGAACCCCGTCAGGAATCCGCCGATATGAGCAAAGTTGTCAACATGTGGCAAAATGCCGATGGCAAGGTTGATGACAACAATAACCAGAAGAGTGAGCAAAGCTGCTGCCTGTAAAAGAAGAGAAGGGCTTCGCATGTTAAGGTTGTTCACAGCCTCAAGTTATGATGAAACTAACTCATGGCAAAGAGAAAATCTGATAGTGTTTCAGTTTTCACAATTAAAAGAAGAGAACAGTTGGATAAGTACAGACAGACCTTATTGGTATAAATAGTCCAGTTGGTAAGAAGTTCAGAAAGCATCGCTCCAAGAAGTCCAAAAAGAGCACCGGAGGCACCAACAGAGATGTTGTTTCTTATAAATAAAGAAGACAATACACTTCCGCCGAATCCAGATATCAGGTAAATGACTCCAATCCTCACTGCAAAATTTTTCACAATAGAAAAATATAAGGCCACATCCATGCGTCCAAGTTAAATTTGAAAAATAGAGTAATTATAAAATTGGTAACCATCATGATGATGTTTTTGCTGGTTTTGTGTACACTTAACAACATGAAATCAATTATATTTAGATCAAACAAACTGGAAAGGGGGTAACATACAGAACCCAAATTGTTGTTCCAGGCGAATGCCGATGAAGACAAGGCTTAACATGTTTGCAACCAAATGAATAACTCCAGCATGCAACCAAATGCAAGTGAAAAGTCTCCATCCCTGATGATGATTCACAACTTTGTCCCATTGAAGAGCTCCCATTTTCGTTAACCTTTAAAATCCAGAAAGAAAAATGCTTCAAGTCAGTAATTTAGCTAAACAGAAGCTCTCCTAGCTGAAGAAACTAGGCATCCAAATAACTGCAACTTAGACAATTGGAAAACAGAGCCCACCCTTGCTCAGATTTCTGTTTTTAAATAGAACACCAAATGAACTACATCAGCCAAATTCTAAAGTAAATCCGTAAGCTATCTACCAAAACAAGGCACGCTTTCACGCCGATACACCAATTTTTAAAGTCCTTTCTTTTCTACTCGTTTTTCCCTTCCCTGTACTATGTCCGTCCAAGTTCTATACAGGGCAACTTGAAATCATGCAATACTTAAACTGCAATTTGAAGATAATATGTCGCCAAACGATTTTTTCAAAGCTGTTATTTACAGGATTCACACATGAAATACAATAACCCAGCACAGTCACCTATAGCAAGCAACTACATTTCAGTAGGATAGCATATAACCAATTGAAGAGCTTCCTTCTTCCTTTCTTTGTTTATTTTCTTTCCTAATAAGTACCACAAAGATAATTAAGATTAAAGCATCCTTATTTATTATATTTTCTTTCTACAAAAGGAGTGGAAGGGTATGAAGGATTTATTTATTTAAAAAAAAAATCCCAAAGCACTTAAGCAGTAAGAGGCTAGGAAATTAATTACCGTTGGGAACTTATCTACCATTCCCAAGCAGACAATTGACAATATAAACCATGAGACTTTACGGGGAAATTTCCACCTTATGATTAACAAAGTCATGAATGAGATCAGAAAAGGAAACTGGGCTATCCGCAGCCACTAGAAAATAAAATCCCATTTTGACCAAATTAGCCCAGCAATTACAGGGACCAGTAATAGAAAATCGTTCCAATTTCATGCCGTAGAAGTAACAATTTCAACTATTATCATCAATGCAATCATATGGCCCGAAAATCAAATTAAGAAGGACCCAAATCATAAATTCATAAAGTTAGCCCAAAAAAAAAATCCGAAGACCGCATCCAAGAAGCTAAGAATCCCTCCGAAAAGAAAATTAATAAGTTAGCGGCATATTGATACCTTCGGAGTGATAAAAGAAGCATCAAAGTGAAGACAGAGAAATTAACAATGGGAAATTTGATCTTACGTATTAGAAGAAGGGCCAAACAAGGGATTCTCCTGCAAAGGCTGGAACGATAACTTGCCAAGAAACCTAGCGATACACTTGGGCTGATCATCAAAAACTCGATGTTTGGGGCAATTATTGACATACATGGTAACAATGAAAACGGCAATATTGGCTACAACAAACATAGGAACAAGCCATGATGTCCAATGGGTTTCTGGGTCATAAACATAGGACGAAGCAGGGTAGCTGTGGTTGTCTGCTCTGTTCTTGGTTCCACCGCCTCGCTCCAGATCTCGGTCAGCCATAAGAGTACTCCAACTGGGTATCTCCAAAAATGAATCAAGAGTCGATAGTGGAAGAGGTGGAGTTGGTGAAAGGCTTAAATGGAGAGAAGAAGAAGAAATAGTGGGGTTGTGCCGTTGTGGTGTTGCGTTGTAATGGCGATGTGGTGAGGAATTTCAGGATATATAACCGCGCAGTAATCAATCAATCGAAAAGATATATAAATGATAGAATGATACCGACTTGAGAACTGATTCCCTCCTCTTTCATTTGTACTGCAAACTAAAGTACTTGCAAATTGCAATAATCTAATTTAAATCATTTGAAGGTGATTAGCTAATATACTTTGCTGATGAGTGATTAATAATACTACCTCCTGTCTTTGATATGAAATCATATTTAATTTTTATTTTAATCTTAAATATAAGAGCTAAATCTATTTTATTTCTCGTATTTATTTATTTTTTTCAACATAGTCTTTCTAATAATAATAGTTCTAACCAATAAACTTGATTAGTAAAGATATTTTAAGAAAGAGAACATATATTTATAACAAATAACTAATTTAATTTATTTTCTTAATCAACTCAAATTAATCAATTAGTTCTTATATTTAGAAGCGGAGGTAGCATTATTTACTTCTTCTTTTTTTGGGTTAAAGACGCCTACTCTGATGACTTTTATTTTTAATTTACGTGTATCTGCAATGACACAGGAGAAAATCGTTTTATACTATGAAAATTATGGAACTTACTTTTAATAAGGATGATATTAACAGGTATTGTGATTTTAAATTTTTTTTTTTACTAGGGTTGTAATTTTAAATATAATTACTAAACGTACTTTTAACTTCATTTCTTGATTTTTATCAAATTAGTTAAGAATAAGACTAAAAAAAAAGTATGTTGAAGTCGCAAAATTTTAGGAAAAATAATTTTGTACCTATAAATAAAAAATTTTGTGTTTATCAAATAATGGATTCTTTTTCCCCCTAATTAAATAATAGATTCAAACTTTGTTAAGAACACATTACCTGCGATATGATAACTTGAAGAATATCATTTCAATAAATAATTTGGTTTTATATTAATATATTGTTAATAAATAATAAACAAATAGCAAATAGACAATGATCATCAAAGCTAACTATCAATATTCTGGCCTAAACCCATGGGCATGAATATTCCCAAATGTTGGCTTTGTTGAGTCTGTAATATACACGTGTGTGTATGTATACAAATATATATGTGTGTGTATGCATAACGAAGTACCTATCTACATCTCATTCACAGTAATTTTATCAAAAAATATGAATAAATTATTTAAATTAAATTTAGATAATATTGGCACACGATAAGGTGAACGTTGATTCCTATTGCTCATGATAAATGGACAAAGGTTATATGATTTAAGTTATTAAAAAAATAAATAAACCGGGTGGCCCTTATTAAAAAGATCGGCCAGATGTTGACTACCACGTGGCGGGTAATGAGTGGCTAGGAAGACGACAGAGAGTTGGCGGAAGGAACAGGGGATAGTGGCCAGCGAACGCGGTAATTCGCTTTCAATTAAAGATGCTCTAAAGGTACGGGAAGGTTCCGTTGAAGGGTTGGGAACACAAAAACACGCCTTCCGAACTTTCGAAGTAGGCCACGTGGAGCGTCGTTGTCGGTTTACTTCTCACCGCGTGGTCTAAACCGGTGAGCTTAAGTTTATCCCTCCTCTTGTCGGTCTCGGTCCCTTGGCTCTTAGCCCATTAGCCGATTAGGCTCCTCATATAAGCTTATAGTTTTACACATGCATGCATACATACATATATACATATATATTGTTTGTTACAGTTTTTTTAGCAAATTGAGAAGATAAAAATTTCATTAAACACATTTAAGAATATTAATTTTTTTTAAAATCCAGTGTATCTTTTATGTAAGATGTTCTAAGAATTTTTCAGGTATATTAAAAAATAGTTAGATTGTACATTTGTTTTGAAAACCCAATAATGATGGTAAAAAAAAAATTATAATCCTATTAATTAAAAGAAACTCTCCGGAAAAAGAAAAGGGAAAATCTCTTATGCCTTCTTAAGTTCAGAAAGCTATTAAAATTATAGGGATAAAAGTGGAATGTCACGCAAATTTTACTAGGCATCTTGTAGTAGTCACAAGTTTGATGGAATACATTAAAAAATATGTAAAGTTAATTTGAATATGTAATAGTAGTACTCCTCAGATCCTTAATATAGAACTCAGTTCTTGAGTTCGTTTTGGTCCTAAATATAAAACTCATTTCTTATATTTTTTAATTTTTTTTAAATTACCTTTATAGAGACTTCCTCAACCATAATCAACTAGAAAAAAGAAAAATGTATTAAGAAAGATGATTATGGTGTTTTAAGAAAAATGTGTCGCTTTTTTTATAATTAACTAACTTATTTAATTTTCTTAATCTAATCAAATTAATTAAATGAGTCTTATATTAAAGACCGGAGAAGTATATTTAGAAAATAATTCAACTCTTTTTCCTAACTAATCAGTTGTCACAAGGTAAAATACAATGTTTAATTCTTATAATTTGTCTTTAGTTTGGTTTTAGTTTCTAAGCCATAAGTTTTAATTGTTCAAATTCTTATTAAAATATAGAATTAATGTTTTGTTTGAAAAAAATTGAGGAATAAAAATATATGATTTGAAGTTCTAAGAACCAAAATCAAAAATAAAAGTTGGCCAAAAAAACCAAAAATAAAGGCACCAAATGTTGTGTTAACACAAATAAATACTATGATAAGTTTTACCACTTCACAAGTGAAATTTATTACTATATTCGGTTTAAAATATAAGATAAAATTTATTTATTACGCTTATCAAGAAACTAATTAAAATTAATTTAAAACAATAAATGTGTAAGGTATATATTTATTTTTCCTAATATACCTTTATTAATAAAGAGAATAAATAAAAATATAATAAATAATTTAAAAATATATATATGGGGATAAAATTAAAAAAAAGCTCATTAAATATTTAGATAAAAGTGAATATTGTTTTATAAAAAACCCATTTTTTTAAAAAAATAGCTTATATTTTGCTCCGAAAGGGAGTAGTACGGGCCAAAAACAAGTGAAATTTATTATTTGGTCTTTCAATCATTCAATTGAATAAAACGCGTTATACTGAGAGAGACACGATTCTCTTCTGTTGTACCTACTTTGTGTTTACTAATAAGATACGCCTAGCTGTAATTATTCCATTAATATTTAAATTGTGTAAAGAAGGGAGAAACAGGGGAGAAGATGGGAAGTGTGAACATGAAAAGAAGTTGGCCATAGCCAAAAGAGAACGTAATTCAGAATCTCAAGTAAGTTGCCAGCTTTCTTAAAACTGGCAACTTTCGTGAATGCCTCCAACGCGTCTGTCAAGTGTCAACTCACTTTCTATTGCGTCTAGCATCTCAATTACTGCCTCCCGTGGGGGCGTGGATGATTGAATTGAAGTTTCATAATTAGAACAGAAAGTAATATTTTATCAGGTATATCTAATATTTTAATATATTTATTATTTTGAATTATTTTTTTATGTCCATCTAGTATTTTAAATTATTTTGTGGTGTAATTTTACTTTTAAAATATTAATTTTTTTTCAGAATGAACTGTGCTTTTAAAGTATTATTTCATGATGAGTAATTTCATTATTAACTTCTCAAAATCCATAAATGAATGTATATTAATCATTATAAATTATTTTTAAATTTTTTAATGCACTAGATGCACTTAAAAAATATTTCAGAGTGTTAGACACACTACAAAATATTTTAGAATACTAGATACATTGAAAAAAATATTTTGAGGTGTTAAGTGCACTATATAATATTTTAAAGTATTATACACATCTGGTAAAATATTTCAAAGTATTGGACGTATTTTAATCCTTTATTTTGTCCCCTTTTTTTTATTTTTTAACCAGAGACAAAATGACATTAAAACGAAGCAGAGTTCACAACCTACATATTGAAAGTAAATGTATTGAACTATAATTAACAGAAAGAAGCCCGGGCTTGGTGATAACAGGCAAAGCATAAAAATAAGAGCAAAAATTTCCGGAAAATTACTATAAAGTCTCGTTTAAAAAAATTAAATAAAAAATCTCTTAAAATTATTAAATTAATATAAAGTCCCAAAAGACCTCATTATAAGATATTTCATATTTATTTAATTACTAAACTGTTTTTTTTTAAAAATATGTATTGATAACTGAAAGAGAGGTTGTTAACAATTTAAGGCACATCACGGCAAGTATTAACTATATATTTTTTCAGTGTATTACAAAAATATAATGCTAAGTTGTCAATACCTTTCACGATAGCTGTTAATCATTACGCCTTAAGTTATTAACGACTACTCTGTTAGTTGTCAATACATACTTTAAAAAATATAAGAACAAGTTAGTAATTAAACAAGTAAAATTTCTTGCAATAAAGTCTCTTAGAACTTTAGATTAATTTGATGATTTTAAAAAAATATATTTAATTATCTTGAATGGTACTTTATTACAATTTTGTTCAAAATTTCCTGTGAAGTGATGGCTTGGGTAGTGTGATCAAGAAACTGAAGAAATCCCTTATTGATACGATGAATTCCCATAGACGGCTTATTTTGAATTTTTGAAGTACGCCTGCTTTATCCAAAGCCAAGATGCCCGTGGCACTTGGAGTGGAGAGCCAGCTAAAAGAAATTCTTTAAGAAGCTTTCCTTTATAGCATATTATGTCATGACAATAAATTTTTTTTTTTGGGACTGAAATGTCATGACAATAAATTTAACAAAGTTACAATGACAAGTTTGTTTGAAATTAAAATTTTTAAAATTAATAATTCACAATAAATTTAACAAAATAAAAATGTTATACAGAGAAATGAGAAAAGTGTTCTGCAAAAAACGAAAACGAATCTACGTAATTATACTATTCTAATACTTTTCTTTGAATGCTTATTGATTATTGATTACTATTCTCTGGGAAAAAAAAAAGTTTAGCGGAATAAAAATCTAATGAAAGAAAAATGCAATAGTATCAGTGCTCTTATTTCGAAAAACTTCAATGGGTGTGAGATGTTGATTAGAAGAAAGAAGAGAGAATGTGCATCATTTTTTTTTCAATGCAGTTATATA